GTGCAGTACTCGCTGCTGGACCGCCGCCCCCGCGTGGCCATGGCCGACTACTGCGCGGCCAACGGCATAGGGCTGCTGCCCTACGGCGTGCTGGGGGGATCCTTCCTCACAGACAAGTTGGTCACAGGGCGCCCGTGGTTGGGCTAAAAGATTCTTGCGCGGAGTGGTTGGGTTTACATGGACGGCTGCGAAATTGTGACCCTTGAAAGCTGCAAAATTTGCACCGTTGCAATGACATGCAGTGCAACCCCCCCATTTTGCAGTACGACTTGTCACACCTTGCACAGCCTCGCCCTGCATCCTCACCGTGCTGCACTGCAAAGCACGCACCTTGCTGGTGCGTGCTCTCACACCCCGCAACCCCGGTCACCCAACGTCCCAGGTATCTGGGTGCTGACGTCAGCACTGTGAAGGCAGACACCTACTCAAAGGTGGGCGGGACACACGTGATCCCACACACCCCCTGTCTGTGCCTGAGAAGAGGGTGTAAAGGCAGCAGAGCAGAGCACAGTAGATGTCTGGGGCAACCGCCACAGAGGTTGAGTTGAGTGTGCAGTGGAGGGAGGGTGCGTGCCGCTGAATCCCCATTTGACACGGGAGCCCCGGGCCCACTTGGCAGGGCCGGGCAGTGGTGGTCTCACATGCACCCCCTCACTTCTGGCGTGCCGCTGAAGCCTGGCACGTCGCAAGCCTGCTATTGTGCTGCAGTCTCTCGCTCCCTCACTCACTCCCCTGTCGATGCAGTCCCCCGCATCCCCGCCCCCTGCACTGCACACTCATGAACGGAAACTCAACCTCCATGCCCCCCCTCCCCCAGGGCAAGTACGGGTCCGTCATCGTGGAGAGCCTGGGCGGCTGGGGCGGCCTCCAGCGGCTGCTGGGGGAGCTGCAGCCCATCGCACAGAAGGTGCGTGGGTGGGGCAGGAGGGGGGGATGCAGGGGCAGGCGTCAACAGGCAAGGCGGCTTCGTGGGGTTCACCCTTGGGAGTTGATGCCTGGCGGGCGTCACGGCGCTGCCGCTTGTCATGCCGCTGGCTCTTGCTGTGCTGGCTCCTGGCAGATGGCTCCTGCTGACTTGGCGGTTCTCCGCCAGACCACACCTTTGCTGATGTTCCATCTGATCCTTCTGAATCGGACTGGATCTTGATTCGACGCAACACCCTACGCCACGTGATTGCAATCGCACGGTTCCCCCCTCGCGCGCAGCACGGCACCACCGTCGCCAACGTGTCGGCGCGCTGGGTGCTGCAGCAGCCGCAGGTGCCGGCAGTCATCATCGGCGCCCGCAACGCGTCCCACGTGCCGGACCACCAGCGGCTGTTCTCGTTCGAGCTCGACTCAGAGGACCTCTCAAAGATTGAGGGCGTGCTGGCTGAGACCCGGCAGCCGACAGGGGACTGCTACGAGTGGGAGCGCGGGGGGCGGTTCTGAGTCGGCACCCCCACAGAGCTGACTAGACGCACGGGGGCGGGGGGGGGGGGTGGGACCGGATGCCGACAAACGGATCGTGCGCACGAGTCAGCAAGCAGACAGGTCGCGGTTTTGCACACCCAAGTCTGTTTGCTCCGGGCTAGGTTGCATGGGGCTAGAACGTGCCACACACGTTCACAATTTTTACACAAGTTTTTGAAAGGAATTTGTAGGTGGTGCAGGCATTCAGAGTTGAGGAGCAGATGAGTTTGGTGGGTGCTGGGGCGACCCCATATGCTGTATGGCAGCTACCATGCAGTACGCAGTAACATAGAGGGCGTGTGATTGCAATATCTGTAATGGTGATCGCCGCTCTTATCAATGAGTGGTGATTCACGCTGAGAATCGTGTGGCGTTGTGAGTGAGTGTCATGCAGCATCATCACAGCATACCATCATCGCCGGCTGCATCACCAGGGGGCGTCTCTGGCAGCTCCTCGTCCTCGTCATCACCCCCAACCGCCATCAGGTCATGCTGCTGCTGCTGCTCCTGGTGCTGCTGGACTAGCTGCCGCTGCTGGACAGCAGTGTTGATGCTAGGCAGCCAGGCTGCAGGCGGGTACTCCCCGTCCTGCTGCTGCTGCTGCTGCTGCTGCTGCTGCTGCTGCTGCTGCTGCTGCTGCTGCTGCGGGCGTTGCTGCTGGCCGCCGCCACTGCCTCCTACGGAAGCGGCTGCGGAGCGCGAGGCGTGCGCCGAGGTGCGCTGGGGAGGGAGGGCCTCGGGATCCTCCGGGCTGCCGCCGCCTGCGCCAGGTGGCACTGCGTTCTGCCGCCACGAGGCCGGCCCACTCGCCCCCCTGGCCGCCGGCTGCTGCTCCTGCTGCGGATCAGCGCCAGCCGCAAGCCCAGCGCTGGCAAAGCTGCCAGCAGGCCGCCCATCGAGCCCGCCTGTAGCGTCATCGCCGCCGCCGCTGCCGCTCCCGCCGCCGCCAGCCCCGCTGGCGGTGGCGGCGGAGCGCCCCGGGATGCTGTATCGGGAGTATGCTCCCCGCCGCCCCTGCTCCTCCGCGGCGCGCTCCTCCTCCTCCATCCGCTGCCGCAGCCGCTGCATTCGGCTCACGCGCTGCTGCGGGGGCGGCAGAGGCGGCGCGTCGGCGGACGGGGCGGGGGCCGCACCGCCCGACGGTGCGCGTGCCGGCGGCGGGACGCGCTGCTGCTGCTGCTGCTGTTGCTGCTGCTGCTGCTGCTGCTGCGAGGGCCCCGTGGGCTGCTGTTGCTGTTGCTGCTGCTGCCTGAACCGGATCATGGCCTCCATCCGGTTGCTGGTAGCGGTGGTGGGCGGCGCCCGCGCACCCGTGCCTGCGGCGGCAGTATGGGCACGGCTCGTTTCAGGTGGAGCAGGAGAGGACAGCGCCAACACACCACTCGCCAGCTGCACGATGCCACCCACCGACAAAACCACCGCCGGAGCACACACGATGGCACCAGCCCACCCGAGACGGCTGCCAGCCGCCCGCGCCCTCACCTCCCGTGCGGCCCCAGGGCGTGTCCCCGGGCACACCGCTCGGCGTCGGCGCCGCCGCCCCCGCCCCAGCCCGCCACGCGCCCGGCGCCGGCGTCTCCTCCGCGCCGCCGCCGCGCCCGGCCGCTCCGGGGCCGCCAGCCGCACCTGCGCCGCCGCCGCCGGCGTGCTCGTGCTGCCCGCCGGGGGCGGCCTGGGAGGGTGCGCCCGCGCCCCCCGCGCCCCCACCCCCGCCGCGTGCTGCCTGCAGGTCTGGTGGCAGTGCCGACTCCATGAGGGTGGCCAGCACCAGCTCAGCCGTGTAGTCCACATCCTTTGGGGAGCGCAGCAGAGCGGAGGGAGCAGTGATCTGATGTGTTGGGGCACGTCCTCTTTGGGGGAGGGGGTTGAGAGGAGGGGCCCGCGTTCTGATGTGTCGGGGCGTCATGCTTTGGTGGGCGTTAAGTGCAGCCGTGCACGCAGTCGTGGTGCAGTGGGGCCCGTGCTGTTTGTGGCAGGGGGAAGGCAAAGCAGGAGGGGAGGGGAGTGTGCAGGTGCATGCTGCAAGCTGGGCTGCTGCAGCCAAGTCGTGGGGGCACACACCGGGGCAATACAGTATCACGCACGCACCTCGGCCCCGCTGTTCACACACACACACGAATATGAGCTCAGTCCCGCCGCCGCAGCCACCACCCCCACCGCGCCCCCACCCACCGCGTCCCCTGCGCCCCTGAAGTGTGGCTCCGCATGCAGGGGCGCCCCCGGGCCGTCGAAGCGCAGCGTGATCTCGGCACCCATGGCCTCACACAGGCCTAGAAGAGCCCTTTTTGGGGGGGGGGGGTTCAGAGGGCGGCAGGGTTTGGACGTCCGGGGCCGTTCAGGGAATGGGCCATCAGCATGGCGCTCAATGGGCATATGCTGTCGCGTGGCAGGCGCGACGCGTCACCCGGGCACTCGAGGGGACGAGAACACGGCCGGGCCATCTGTGCAAACAACCCCCAAGAATCACCCCTCCATGCAACTGACCCTCTACCCCCCAAAAACCCTCCACTCCCCCCCACACACCCACACACACACACCCACACACACACACAACTACACACACACACACACAACTACACACACACACACCCACACACACACACAACCACACACACACACACAAGCCCAGCCAAACCACAAGGCCCCTGGTCCTCTGTCAGGCCGCCCGAGTTCCTGGAGGGTGGATGCTGCAGCCTGACAGCTGCTGGCGCCAGGCTCAGCACCTCCCAAACTTGGCAATTCGAAATTCATACGCTGATTTGATCAAGCAGCCCCACTGTGTGCGTGTGGTGCCTTGCACCAGGTGGGTGTCACCCAGGGTGGCTGTCTCCTTCTGCCCCCCACCTGAGGTCCTTGAGGTTGAATGTGGCGTCAGAGGCGCCACCAGAGGCGTGGCTGTAGGCCAGGAACAGGCCGCCCGTGTCAACGTCCAGCTGGGTGCGAAGGGAGCTGGAGCTGGCGCCTGGTGGGGGCGGTTGTGGGGGGGGGCGAAAGAGCGGAGGTGCGTGGGCGGGGGCTGCAGGCAAGAGTGAGGGGTGCGTGGAAGGGGTCTGGGGTCACGATTGGCGATTGGAGCGGCGATCTTCTCGGGGCGGCCACGTGCATGTGTGGAGGACGAGCAGTGGTATCTGGAAGGGACAGAGCTGAGGGTTGGGCTCACCTGGCGCTCCCCTTGCTCCCCAAAACCTGACGCCCACGCCAACAATGCAACCGCCCCCATGGCACCCTGAATCACCCGCCCTGCAGCAAAAACACACTTTCCCTCTAGTCACCCATCCTCTCTGCCACCCTATTTCACCCACATGAAGCGGAACCCCTTCCCACCAGATGTCCAAGCTCACCCTTGGCGGGGTCCACAAAGCTCTGAATTCGCACAGCCTTGCCGCCGCCGCCACCCCCCATCCCTCCGCCCCGCCCGGGCCCGCCGCCCCCGCTGAACGCCGCCGACGGCACCCCGGTGCGCGCCGGCAGGGGCCCGCCGCCTGGGCCCCGCTGGTCGCTGGCGGCGCCCCCCGGCCCCGGTGCCGTGTCGTCCTGGGGCAGGGCTATGATGGTGATCTCATCCAGGGTGGACTGGAAGGAGCCCAGCAGCCTTGCGGATGGGTTGTGCAAAAAGGGTTGGGTTGGAAAAGGGTTCAGAGAAGGGATATGATTGGTCGAGGGCAGAGGCGCTGCGGCACGCTCAGGGCTCAGCAGAATCCCCGCTAGGAATTAGCAGCGGCCGCTCTGGCGCGCTGCAGGCGGAAGACGCCCGCGGGCGCTGTGAGCTGAGGGCGCGTATGTGGCGCCCACCCGTTCACACTGCAGCCCTCGCGCGCCCAGCTCGAGGCCGCCGCGGACGGCTTGGTGGCATACCCCGGGCCCGCTGCGGGACCCCCTCGCAACACTGCAGCACACGCCCTGAATCCCTGCATGGAAGCCTCCCTTCCACTCAGTCAAAGACTTCGTCATGGCCCAAGTGTCCCCCCCTTGCCCCAAACACACATGCACACTCCGTCACTCTCGCTTGCACATAAAAATCAAGGCTCCGCTGCGGCCAAAGCACCTCCCCCAAAAAATTCCTACATGCTCTCACTCTTCACATGATTTCATACTCCCCGCCGCTTGACGCACACGCACACCCTCCCTGCCCTACACCAGCATACACAAGTCCTCATCCACGCACGCGCCCTCCCCCTCAACGTGCACGCGTGCACACCCTCCCTGTTGTGCACCAGCATTCACATACACGCGTGCCCCCCCCC